ATAACCGTTAATAAAGGTAAAAAGTAAAATAAGTAAAGTAAAAGAAATAATAATATAGTGTGTGTGTATATATATATATATATATATATATATATATATATAAAATGAATCACTGCTGTACACCAGAAATTAACACAACATTGTAAACAGACTATACTTCAATTAAAAAAACTATACTACTGCCAAAAAAATAAAACACACACACAACAAACATCCATCGTTCCAGCAGGTATCCAGGTGAGGATCCTGGGGAAAAACCCAGTAACCTGTCACACAGGAAATTTGGCGAAAACCACGTGGTTTGGCTGCATGCTGTGGTGTCAGGCAGCCAAGCACGTGCAATTGAATGGGCAAAAGGCCGGGTATCAGACAAACCTGCCTGGGTTCAAACCCAGCCTGCTACTTCTAGTAGGCTACATGAACCTCAGGGAGTCACATCCCTCTCTGAGCTTCATTTCCCCATCTTTTAAATGGGGATGATGATGTCTACCACAGAGGGTTATTCAGGAATTAAATTACCAACTGTTTCAATGATCAGTTGGTGTATAACCAACTACCACAAACTTAATGGCTTAGAAAAGCAGTTTTTGATTACCACCTAGGATCCTGTAGATGAACTGGGCTCAACTGGGCACTTCTCTTGGGGTCTGTTTTGTGGTTGCTCTCAGTGGTGGCGGGGCTGGAGTCATCTGAAGGTTCAGCTGGGTTTGACGTCCAAGATGACGTCTTCATTCGTATGTCTGGTGCCTCAGCTTGGGGGGAGGCGACAGCTGGGGGCTACTGGACATCTCTCTCCCTTTCTCTGCATAGCCACTTCATGTGGCTAGCCTGGGCTTCCTCACAGCAGGGCAGTCTCGGGTCAGTCTGCAGTCCGACTTCTTACATGGTGGTTGACTTCCCTAAGAGTTTCAAGCGATGCTGGTGGAATCTACAAGCCTCTTACGACGTTGGCTTGGAAGTGCTGTGGCATTCCTCCCAACATATTAGTCAAGGACAAGTCACAGGGCCAGCCCAGATTCAATGAGAGGGGCATGAATGCTGGGGTGGTTCACTGGGAGCCATTTTTCTTCTCTCTGCTCCTGCTTCTCCACTTAACTCTCCAGTTCCTCCTCCTCAGTCTCCTTTGGGGAATTTCTTCTTCTGCCCAGCCTGCTAATGGTGGGGTTCCCCTGGGTCTGTCCTCAGCCCTCCTGTCTTCTCCTTCTACATGTTATCCTGCGACAACCTTGAGCTCTTTCTTTGATCTCTCATCCTTGGCTTTTGTCTGTCTCCAGCCCAGACCTTTCTCAGGAATTCCAGATCTGGGCAGCCTCAGTCTCAAGGCCACCATCAAGGCCCTGTCTTCCCTCCAGCCTGCTCCTCCCCAGTTAATTACAAGAAGCCTCAGTTAGCACAGAGGAAACAGCAAAACCAGACTGGGAAGTCAGGGGAGGCTTCTTGGAGGAGGGGCCCTGGAGCTTAGCAGGAACTAGCTAGGCTAGGAGGATGGAGAGAGTATTCCAGGTCAAATGAACATCACAGCTAAAGACACTAGATGGAAAAGGAAAGCCACTTCAGGGATAGAGAAGCTGGGTTTGGCTAGAGTTTGGAGTGTGTAGAGGGATCTGAAGGCCAGAGGGGCAGGTCTGAGCTAGAATTCAATTTGCAAGGAGGATGGGGACCATGGGTCCAAGCTCTAGCTTCATTCTTTTTTCTTTTTCTTTTTCTCTTTTTTGTTGTAATTCTTTGTTCTAGCTCCATTTTTAATCCAGTGGGGAACCATGCAGAGTTTTAGACAGGCAATGCCCTAACTCAAGACAGTGGTCTGGGCAGTGATGGGGGTATGGACTTTATCAGCACACGGAGATAGTGAAGGCTCCTGGTTGGCCTCAGGGATGATATGTAGCAGGGAGGGGTAGGAGGGGGGTTGGAGAGGAGGACAGAGCTTCATGGAAGAGTAGTAAGTAGGTTCCCAGCAGCCGGAATGAGTGATTGCTTCCAGAAGGGCGTGGCTGACGGGGCGGGAGAAAAAGCCCACCAAGAGCCCACTGAAGTTCATCAGGTCACAGAGAGCGGAGAGCTATGTGGGGGATGGGGTTCTGTGGGGAAGGACGGAAAAGTTCTGTCACTTCCTTGTCACTTTTACTCTCTACACCTTGTCAGAACTGACTCTTTGCCCTTAGAGGGGCCCAGAGCTTTAGTCATCTCAGGCCCACCCCTTCCAGGGGCCCTGGGACCACCCACCCATCCTCAGCTCAGAGACCTGCAGCTCCTCTGAAAAGGTGGCAGGGGGGCAATGTCACCTCAGAAAGCACTAATGATGCAGACCCTCCCCGACCCCTCCTGGGACGCCTCTGGGAGGCAGGACGAGGAAGGAGTAAGAGCTCAGGTCAGTAGGGTAGGAGGGTAGGGGGCCCCAGACAGACTTCCATCTGTATCCTAGTTCCTAGCTCTGCAAATTTGGGCAAGTTATAGAAATTTTCTGTGCCTCAGTTTCCTCATCTGTAAAATGGGAATACTACTGCATACCTTGCAGGAGTGCTGGGAAGCTCAGAAATGAGCCAATACGGGTAACACGCTGAGAAGAATGTCTAGCATCTAGTAAGTGCAATAAAAATACTAGTTAGTGCAATGGTTGTTATTGTTATGGGGCAGTTATGAGGATTAAATGAAATGATGGAAGTCAAATGCATGACGTGGGGCCCAGAATACAGTAAGTATTTCAAAGACAGGAGCTATTACT